AAACAAGGGCTCTGATACCAATCTGTCACACCCCAAAACCGAAATGGCGGAAACGTTCTGGGGTGGAGGACGTCATGTATAGCATCACAACCAATGTATAATAGCAATCATATCAACACAACCATTACAGTGAATACTTAAATAAAAATGTTTACATCAATTTGGAATTGTCGGAAACTTGTTTGAATTACATCAAATAGTTTGTTTGAATATAAGCATAAACTTTTATTGCTCCAACTCCTCAAAAATCTAGCAGGTACCTGTCTACTGATTTCCTGAGAATACAAGCAGTTTGAAAATATCAGCATAAAGCTGGTGAGTTCATAAGCAGTAGTTTGTAATGAAAAACTTGCTGATGGGATTGTAAAAGTGTTTGTAAAGTTTCAAGAAAATCCGATATTTTCTTTAAAGAGAATGTAGTGTTATCAGTTCTGTAATAAACCATGAATATCTGAATGTTTCCAAGAAAATCCCATGTTTTCTGTAGTGAAAATGTATCGTTATCAATTCCGTATAAAACCATGAATATTCGTTACTGAAAACAGTAGTGATATGCGAAAATACTACCTCATGTTACTAACTAAGGCTAATCATGAAGTACAAGTATTTTGCATGTGAAACTATTGCTTAATCGGTTCTGTTTGAAAACCCTGGCTTTAGCCAGTATACGTAGTGTGTGTTAGTTCTATTTAGTATAAATAAAACTGTCGAAGAGTGCCAGGTTGTAAACTAGAGATGATTTATACATAATGTGAGTCGTATAACCATGCTTGATATGACTAGAGACCTTTCCAACGTTCTTCAGGCGTTGAGTTAAATGACATTTGTCACCCCAGGCATGCCTGCCTAACTATAGCTAGCAGTTCAGGTGTGGGATTGTCAGTCCCGAATAGATCTTTTCACAAATCTCACGCTCTCCCTCCAGGAGACTCTGGTTATACTATGATAGGATTTATCCCTGTACACCTAAGAGTACAATATTGAAGTAGCGCCTCACAGTATCGTACAATCTAGTTTACATGTAGTGTTGTAGCGTTTTACCATAGTGAAAATCCGTATGTATACCGTATGTAGTGAATATTACAGTTATGAATACCATGATAATGTAGTGATGTAAACTGTAAACCATTTCTGTTTTAGTGCATATGTTTAGTAGTGAAAGTTTCTGCACTTGTTATGTTTAGAAAATCCCAAACTATACTGATTATAGTTTGCATGTATAGTGTGGTGAATATCGAGTCCGGAAAACTACGCAATTTTAGTGAAAATGTCCCTTATGCTCAACACAGTACAAAAGGGTTAAATTATGAGAATTGCATGAGTTTTATACTTGTTAAAAGCTCTTTGTATAAATTAACAAAAGCATTTATGGTTTAGCTTGTATTCCCCCCTGAAAACGTTTTAAAACCAGTAAAAGTGTAGGGGTATGAACTCACAGTTTGACGTAAGATCCGAGTGTAAGGTCGGTGTGGATGCTGAGTGTCAACTGGTGTTTCGTACGCAAGTGGATCCTATTAACATATGGTAACACATATATGTATTAGATGAGGACATAACACTATCTGTTATGGAAGGAAACCACCTTAGGGACTAGGAAACACTTGAAACTAAGTGTTAGAATCACTCGTGATTGAAGATGGGGAGTTTGCGGCCGTAATCAAGAGTGTACGGTCAGGAGTTTGCGGCCCAACAGGGTTTACGACCCATGAGTTTGTGGTCCAAGTGTTTGGGGTCCATGGGTTGACGGCCCATGGGTTTGCGGCCTGTGGGTTTACGGCCCATGAGCTTGCGGCCGTAAACACTTGGTGAAAGGTGCGATTTTCGGTGTTTCAAAGTCCTTTCTAGCCTCTTGGAAGTGTCCTAAGCCTTGTGCCCAGCTCAAGGAAGAGTTCAAAGGCCAATAATCAACCAAAAATGGAGTTTACGGCCATTGAAGGGAGTACGGCCGTAAACCCATTTCGTGTTCATGATTTCAGGTCGATTTTTAGGTGAAAACAAGTGATTCCTAGTAGATAACAAGCATAGGGAGTAGTTACTTACTGTAAGAGGCTTGGAATGATGTTTTTAGCCACCAAGAACTAGTGTGTGTTCTTGGTGTTCTTAGTGAGAGAGAAAATCTAGTAAAAGATGAAATTTATGAGATGAAACATGGATTCATCACTAGAAAAGAGGTTGAAACTCAATAGAAGTGAAGAATCACTTACATTTTGAAGATCCTTGAGCCAACTCGAAATTGTAGAGAGAGTAGAGAGAGAAAGACCTTTGAGTGCTTAAAGTTTGAAATGAAGGCCACTCATCCCTTATAGAGGGGTGAGTTTTCGGCCAAGGGGTACCTGGCACCGACCGTAAACGGGTTTACAGTCTCGAGTTTATGGCCGTAAACTCGTCCTGGCCGTAAACTCGGTGTTGTCGGGTAAAGTTACGAGTTTTTCGCGTGATTTTCGGTTAATTCCGACTGGTATAGAATACATATTATTGATTTAAAATAGTAAAGTCTTTTCCCAAATCAAGAATTTTGACGGAATTTAGTAAAACCAAATTTTATTATCGGAAATCAGGTATAGCTAACGGAAAAAGTTTCGGATTGTCACATGTTTGGGCTTATTCCTGCATCAACATTCATAGAGTTAGTATTGATAGTATTATTGTTTAAGAAGTTATTAGAATCAAGATTTCTAGGAGTATTGAAAGGCTCATCGAGATCATTGATCATAGATGCTCGATTGTTCATAGTCGTCCCCCCAGGGTGATGCAGCAGTAGCAGGAGCTGTGTTCCCCTGTTGATTTCCTGAGGATCCTGCATTGTCGAAGTTCAGGATCCTTGGTTGTAAAACTGTGGGCATCGTTTCCTGGGATCTCTGAAATTCCGCCTTCATCCGCTCCACTTCTCTAAGTAGTGTTCTATTGTCGTCTTGCTGCTGAGTCATATGTTGCGTCATTTTCCTCATCATAGCAAAGAGTTCAGCAGTAGTGACCGGAGCAGTCGGATCCTGGAGTCCTTCAGATCCCAAACTTCCTTGGTTAGTGACTGGATGGGTATTTCTCTTGGAAGTATCAGACGCTTTCTCTGACCAGGGGGGTCCACTCGGAGGAGGTAGTAGGTTTTTGGTTGGAATGGAAGGAGCGGAGGATGAAGAAAGGATTGGTTGTGTAGACATGATCTTTCGAGGAGTTTGAACACTACGGCCCCACGGTGGGCGCCAAATTGTTTTGGTAAAAAATTACACAAGTATAAATCAAGCAAATTGAATGAGGGGTTGTGATGTTGGAATTGTGCGATAGAGAAAGGTAAAGAGAATGACACGATTATTTACAAGGAAAGACCTTGATCCTTGCTAGGATCTCCGGCACAAAATCTTAGGAGGTGATAATGATCACCTGCCTTGATCATTTTATTAATATAAAATGATGATTACAGAGAGTACTTCAGTAAGGACAAGTGAAAAAGTTCATTGAGTAAGCTAAAAATAGGTAGAGTGTGTCGTGTGCGAGATACATGTGTCAATTTATAGTCTAAACTAGCTAACAAAATGTCTGATATTCCCGGGATCCTCTATGACCAGCTTTGTGAACGTTGTTTGACTTGGTATTCCGGGTCTTTAGCATAGTTGAGATGACTCTCTGTTGAGAATAAGTCTTTTCTTAACTATTTTTGCACACGTGTTAATTAAGAACGAAATATAACCGTTATAAATGTTAGTAAATAATAATAACGGTAATAGTTGGGATCCTGAGATAGTTGATGATCCTCCGAATATATGATAAGGTTTGAGGATCCTGAATGCTTTGAGGATCATGTCCCTAACAAGGCCCATTTATTATTATTTTTCTTTTTCGTTTAATTGTAATTAACTAAAAATAAAAGGTAAAAGAAATTAAAAAGGCATATAAATCGTTTCATATACTAAATGACCAATCATACAAATTTTAGAAACGATAAGAATCATATTTTAGAAACGATAAGAACCATGTTCGTAAAAATGAATTAACAGAGACTAAATTTGTGATTTTTGATAAACCGTAAGGACCATTTATATAATTTTATCCAAGAAAAATGTTCACCAAAATCCGAAATGATAACTTCGAAATCCAAGATCGTAAGTTTGAAATAGACATTTCATATATCATGGTCATTGTAAAATACATTAAAAAATGGTTATACAGTGATTGATGGTCATGGACATATTTTACGAATATTTTATGATTGGTTTTTTTCCTTTTTTTTTTTTGTTTTTTTTTGTTTTTTCTTGTGATTAACTTGTAAACAATGGTTGGGTAAATGCTTAAATTTAACATATATCTGCATGCATATATACAAGAAGATGAGATTGACTCATAGACATGAAGACATGATGATGATGATGATTATGATTATGATGATGATGGGATGCATGCATACATAGATGGCCATGGGAAGCAAATCTGTAAAAGGGAATCAAAGGAAAATAAGAGGTGGCCACCCCACCCCGACCTGCCCAAGATATGGTAAGTGCACATGATTTCACAACTTACATCACCTGTATCTCTTCTCAGGATTTTTGTGGCTCCCACCCCCTCCCCTTTCTTTCAATCCCTATGCGTATATTTTTCATATTGAAAATATTTTAGACAACTAATTTAAATAAATAATTATATTAAAAAATACATGTCAAACTCAAACCTAATGTCAATACCAATTTCATGTGTCCTTTTTTTTGTACTTTTGTACATTTTAACAGTTTATCCTAATGTAAAAGATCACAATTTATAAAACCAAAATCTAAAGTTTATAAATCAAGTCATTATTTTTCTTGATTTGGATAAATCACAACTTACCATGTGAATGATTTAGATAAACCCAAACTCTTAAAGAATCTTTTTGATTACAATGTAAACATCCAAGATTTTGGTGTTTTCTTTATTTGATTTTTTTTTATTTAAAATTGCCAATTTGCCCCCTTACACTATGCCCCTTGCTTGCCTTATAATCCAAAAATATTAAGAGGTGGAAGATCTTTGGACGAAGATCTTGCTTTGTGGGTTGTGTGGGTCTTTTCTTTCACATAAAAACATCTATCTTTCCTCATTTCCCTCATCAAGAAACCAAACCCACAAAACAAACCCATCTTTTTTGGTTAATTTCTTCATCATCTTCTTTGATTTGAGATCTGCAAATCTTGTTCTAATGGGTGTTGCAGCAGATTCACAGTTTCATGTTCTTGCTGTTGATGACAGCATCATTGATAGAAAACTGATTGAAAGACTACTCAAAACCTCATCTTTTCAAGGTACTAATTAATTCTTCCCCTTTTCATTCATCCAATTCGAATCGATTCAAATGGTTATGAATTCGAGACTCAATGTAAATAAATGTTGATGTGATTTCACTATTTCAGTTACGACTGTGGATTCTGGAAGTAAGGCTTTAGAATTTCTAGGATTACATGAAGAAGATGATGAAATTCATAACTTAAATCAACCCTCTGTATCTCCAAATATCAATCAGGTATGCATTTGAAGGATTCTTGATTGAATCTTTTACGTAATTGATTGTTTTTGAAAGGATTTGCCAACGAATTTGCAACTCTATTTTGCAGGAAGTGGAAGTCAATCTGATAATTACTGACTATTGTATGCCTGGAATGACAGGCTATGATTTGCTCAAAAAAGTTAAGGTATAAATCGATTTTATATTTATTTTGTATTCATTTACTTCGACTAAGTTTGTGATTTATCTCATATAATTAACAATTTTTATAAATATATCAATAATATGAGATGTAATTTGTTTAATGTTATTTATTTACTTATTTTACAGAAATCTTCATCCTTCAAAGATATACCGGTTGTTATTATGTCATCAGAAAACGTTCCTTCAAGGATTAGTAGGTAATAACTTTAATCTTGTAAAGTAAAAAAGAATACAAATATTTTATTTATATGTTATTTATTTAATAATATAAATTCTACTTGACAGATGTTTAGAAGAAGGAGCCGAAGAATTTTTCTTGAAACCTGTTAGATTATCAGATGTAAACAAATTGAAACCTCATATGATGAGAACCAAAATCAAAGAAATTGACCATATTGATCATCAATATAATCAAGAACACGAAAAACATCAAGAACAAAATGTATTGGAAACTAAAGAAGATGAATCGACACAACAATCCAATGGAAACAAGAGAAAATCCATGGAAGATGGAGATCTTACGAGACAAAACAAAACCCAAATTCAATGGTGGCCATACTGTAGATTTGACTGATTGCCAAATAGCTTCTTTTAATTTGACTTTTTTTTCAACTTTGACTTTGAATTACTTTTCTTTGACCCACCTTTTTTACTTTGAGGTTTGTAAAGAGCAATGAGAGATCAGCGCATCTCAAGATTATACATAGTTTTACTTGAAAATAGAATTTGTAACAAGATAACACTGTGTCAAGGTCAACGTTTATTGAGTCAAAGTCAACTTTTTTACATCTCGTTTACCTTCAAGTGAAGATTCATTGACAAAATGGATAAAGTCAAGATAGGAGCTAAATCGTGAAGGATTTGCATGTTCATGGTGAAAATGAGATGTTGAAGGTCATAACCTTATGGGAATTCTTCTTTCCAAAAAAAAACCTTATGGGAATTCCGTTGACTTTTTTTTTTGACAAACAACTTTGACATTGAAATGGTCAATCTTGTTCATCTTCGATTTAAGTGGGATTTAAGCACGATCAAAGATTGGAATTGTCAATTGCTATAAGTATAAGGTAACGGTATTGTGCGACATTGTGTTTAACGGGTTGGGATATTAATTTCAATTAATGTAATTACATATTTTTCAAGTTTCAAGATCTTTATATTACAAATCATTTTTATATAATGCAATGACACAACTGATGAAAAATTTAGTTTCTAGTTCGCACCAAATCTTTAAATGTGATGCAAATATGAAAATTTTAGTTTCGGTTCAGTTCTTGGTTCCTTGAACTTTTACTTTTTGGTTTCTTCGGCCGGAACCGATCTCATCCCAATACAAAGGAAATTAAATATAAAACCAAACCGGAATCATATAAGAACCAAATATATAAATTAGTTATGCTCTCAGTTTCTTGAATTTCTAATTTTCGGTTCCAGATCGGCCCTATATGAAAGGTATGTGATAATTCAAATAACTAATATATATATATATATATATATATATAATTATTGTGGATTAAATTATGTATAACGGATAATAATATTAAATTAAGTATAACGGATAATAATACAGATGAGGGTATGAATACTATGAAATTTGAAAGAGAAAAACGTTTTCGGAGGTTGTATCAATTGTAAGAGCATTGGCGTAAAAGTTTTTTAAACAAAAGTTTTTTATCTAATAAGTCATTAAAAAGCTTTATACAAATTTATATGCATTGGAGGAAAAGTTTTTTCAATTTTCTTATCAAATTGTTACTGGAAAATCTAGTGAGCAAATACAATAAATCTTTATAAAGGCTTATGCATTGGAGATTCTCTAAGGATGGATCTCGAGAAATCGTGTGGACTGCCTACCGGAATCGCAAGAAATGATAAAGAAAAACGAGGAAGATATCGAAGCTAGAAGTTTTTGGAGGTATTTGGTATTCTTTCAAACAATTGAGGTATGTTCTTCCATTTAAGTTCGATATAATCATTTTAGTGTGTTGTTGTATACTATTAAACCATACTCTAATATACCCTATAAATTAATTATTTTACTAACCTTAATCTTAATCATTATATTATTTATTAGGTTTAAACCTGTGGAAACCACGATTAAGAAAGGAAAACATTTTTTATGGTTCCAAATCGTAACGACTAATCAAAGATTTGCAAAAAAAAATTATTAATATATAAAGATAGATATTTTATCTGTAAATTTATAACGCCTAATTAAATTAAGTATAAACAATTGTATGTATATCCGATCCTATTATAGATATTTGATAAAATCTTGATTTTGTACAATATAATAAAAAATTGAATAGAGTGAAAAAAAACACACACAATAATTATGAAAATGACATTATTATATGGAAAATAAAAAATGAGGGTAATATAAGAATGAAATAGTGAATGGCTGGAATGGACATGGCCGGCAATGGTAATAGAATGAATTTTAACAGGAATTCTTTATATTAAATGTATATATAATGTATAACTTTACGATTATTCCATACATTATTTTAATCACAAAGATTAGTTGCATATTTAGCAACGTACTTTGTTATTTTTACTAATTTATGCAATGCATTTTGTTTTTATCAATATATAATTTACTACTTTCATTTCCTAATTGCCACATAACCATATCCACATCTTTAATTTTTGTCCTTCATTACATTAATAACCCTTTTTTTTTGCAAATATATAATTTTATGAGATCTTTTACATAATCAAACATTCAACATCAGGTATCAACTTCAAATAGTACAACACGTGCTTAATCACCAACACCAGCAAGCATAGATACAACAGAATAGATAGCAACATTTGAAATTGGTTTGTGCTACAACATGATAATTGGTAAAATTAGGACAAGAGTGAAATAGTAATAGCAGAGTACATACATACACAAAGATGACATTGTAGCATAAAATTCATTCATTAGCTTATGGCATACATACATAAAACATAGTGGCATTCTTTTTTATGGTCTGGAACAGTCTAATTTCAGTAAGTAAGCCATCAAACACTCATAAAAGCAAGATGACTACACGTATTTATATAATCAATCTGCTTATGAGTTGCGAAGAACTCACTTAAGAAATTTCTCACACATTGTATGCAATGTAACGTCTGTAGTATCACTGATACTAAAGAATAGAACATTACACTTCCTTACTACATTACACTTTCTCGATTAAAACTTTGCCAAACAAAAATAATTGAATTACTTAGGATTATCTAAAAATATATTGTTGATTTTGTTTTCATTCAAGGGGAATGTCGAAAAACCAAATCCTCGTATCAAATTCTAATAATATAACGGCTTATAAAAGAGCTTAAACAATCATTGTAACAAACTATTCAATTGAACATAGCTAACGATGAATCAACTATATAATAAAATAATAAAACACTCAGATTATATATATGTTTTTCAAACAAAAAATTGAGAATTCCAGATCCACTATCATAAAACTATTCAATTGAACATAGCTTATATTTTTTTAATTTACTTTTCATACGACCAATTTATTTTGTCTGCCTGTTGCCTCCATAGATCAAAAACTTATGTTTTTTAATTTTGAAAATATATACATAATGCATGTTGGTGATGCAATGAAAGTGGAAAAGAAAAGCCAAATTCATATTCAAAAAAATCACAACCACATCTTTAACGGTGAAGAAATGATAGCTAGAAACATAGGTGAAACGTGAAATTACATACAACGTAAAATTAAATCAAATGGAAGAACATATTAACTATGTAAGCGCTGTAAAAAAACTAATTAGGTTAACAAACGAATCGTTAAATAAAATAAAATAAAATAAATGATAAAAATGATAAAAACAAAATATAAATGAAAAATATATATCAAAAAATTAGTTAATAAGTCTTTCAAAAAAAATAGTCATATTTAAGGTAAAAGAAAGTTAGGTCAATACATAACCATTAAGTGTATTTAAGATATAAGAGATGTGGCCTAATAAATAAAAAGTTAAATTTAGACTAGAGCCATCATTTTATTAGGTTTTATAGGTTTGAGTTATGTGATAGGTTAAATTTGACTTCAAACCAAAAAGCAGTAAATTGAAGGAATTTTGGATTGTATAATTTTTTGGTATGAACTTCTTGAGATAACCAAATTAAGGGTTGGGTTTTGATGATTAAAGTTGAGCACAAAATTGAACACAACTAATTTGAGAAACTTAAAAGTTGAGCACAAAATTGAATACAACATCTGAGATCCCCCATTAAAAAATTTCAAATTTTATGTAGAAATACATATAAAAAATAATTAACCACATAAGGCAAAATGAAACAGAAAATGAAGAAAATAATTAGCATCCACAAACAACGATTACTACTATATAAAAGGATATAATTTCTGAGAATAAAATTCATAAATAGCGACATATCTTTCGGTTTGTTTATTTTAGTTATTTAGTTAAAGCATTTTGACTTTCCAAGTTACTACGTATTTAATAATATCTTGATTTAATATGACAATATAAACAATTTTGCAAGTAAATCATTTAAAGTCAACAACTAATAATAAACTAATTATATTATGTATTGTAGAGATCATTAGTATATTTTGTTTATTTTCAATGATATATTTTGTAAATAGTTTAATATTATCATCTTAAACAAGAATATTAATTAGAAAAATGAGAAAAATAAAATTTTTAATCTAATCATATGAATATATGATATTTTCTTTTTTGAAAATAGTCAAAATACACCTTCAAGAAGTTATTCGCTTATTTTACGGCTTTATCCAAACATAACGCCAAAAGCCCAAAAACAAACAAACGTAAAACCCTTTCCCTCTTTATTTTAATGCAGAAGTTCTTCCGCAAAAGGCTTTTAGGAAGGTTTCTTGGAAAAGATCGAAACAAAAGGAGCGAATTCCACTAACAAACGCTACACAAATTGGCGTTACTGAGGTAATTTGATCGATCTCTAGCAAAAAAAATTCCCCTTATCTGATGTACTTGTCGGTTCTTTCTGCTGATCGCATGCAAACAACGACAGCAACTCTGTGTGTTCTTATCCATAATTTTCTTATTAATAGATCACATCAATTTTTTTGATATGATCTTCATAGGAACCTAATTTCCCTGCTGCTAGTTGATGTTGTTGCTGTGATTATGTTTCTTATTGTAATTTTGGAGCAGATCATTAAACCCTAGAATTTGATGTATCAATGTTGTAAGGAACAGGGTAAATATCAAATTTCATGCTTTGGCCTTAATTATTATGAATCCGAATTCATTTACATATTTGTGCTATATGTTGTTAATTTATACAATTACTTCTCTTGCCCCCTTGGTGTTTTTCTGTAAGAAAAAGGATCATGCATATCAGTGAAATTGATCTTATAGCTTGTAGAAGAACTATAATTTGATATATGTTATAAAAAATGCCACCAACATTATCCTATTCGTAGGAATCAAAATTAGGTTTACTGTAGTTACCAATGCTTTTAGAAGATTTGAAGTTAAAATAAATTTGGGATCTCAATACTCTTTTCAGAGCACTTCTTATCCATTATTTGAAATTTAAAGTGCACTTCTTATCTAATAATGTATTTGGCTTCAATACTCTTTTCAGTTAAAGCTTTTAGACATTGGCAAAGTTGAGCATCAACATCAACAACCCTTAGTTCTTACCACAGAAAATTATCTAATTGCAATATAGAAGAAAGATGTCTAGTGGAGAAGTCAAAAAGGTTTCACCCCAAGATTTACAACTGGTATGCTCTTGAGCTTGATCTTTGCTTTCAGCTAGCTTTGAATTTGTTTTTAAGCAATAGCTGTGACCTCAAATGGTGGGAGGATACAATAGTAATTGTTCATCTTTGTGTGGAGATTTGTTTCCAATGACTTTTCTTATTTAATATTATCAGGTACAAAATCTTATAGAAAGATGTCTCCAGCTTTATATGAGCCAAAAGGAAGTTGTTAGCACACTACTACATCAAGCCAAAATAGAACCTAGTTTTACTGAACTTGGTAAATAGTAAATACTAAATACACAGTCATCATCTTTTAATCTTTCTACAAATTTCCACATTTTGATTTTATTCATGTAACACATTTTTCATGTTTCAGTTTGGCAGAAACTCGAAGAAGAAAATCAAGATTTTTTCAAAGCTTATCACCTGAGATTAATAGTAAAAGATCAAATAATGAAATTCAATAAATTACTCCAGACACAAGCTGACCTCATGCATCAAATGTCAACTTCAGTTCCTGTCTCCAACAGATCTCATGTTCCTCTATGTAAACCTTTTTTTCTTTTTTGAAGTTTATATTTTATGATATAATTTCATAATATTAATATATCATCTTTGTTTTACACTTACAGTGCACCAAAATCCTTCATGCTACACCCAAGATAATACTACACAAACACAACAAGGTATGAAGCTAGAGAACATGAACATGCAGCAGTCAACTGTTGGTCAACTGTCTGTACTGATGACTCAGAATTCAAATATGGGAATTATGCAAGGAATGAAATCAGAATCTGGGTATACAGATGCATCTTCTTTTCTGTATAATCCTGCAAATAATGTTGAAGAAAGACACCCTGTAATGGCAGATGTACATGTCCCTATTCCTTCCTTTATTTCTGAAGAATCCAATCCAAAGCATGTGATTGTGAATGAATCAATGGATTCATCATCTTTTGGATTTTTGGGACAAATTCCAAGAAGCTTTAGCCTATCAGATTTGACAGCAGACTTCTCCATTAGTTCAGGTACTTTTATTATTATTATTATTATTATTATTATTATTATGACATTCTACTTTGAAAAAACCTAGGATTTGTCAAATCCTATAATAATATATGACATTTTGTTTCAGATATATTGGACAACTATGCTAAGTCACCCTACCTAGCACCTGACACAGACTTCTTGAATCCTCATGGGAATGGAGGCATCCAACAAGGTATTTTGATTTTTTTGGAATTTAAAAAATATATATATATCTAAAAATAAATATATATATATATATATATATATATATATATATATATATATATAAAATAAAAAATCACTTGTCAGGAGACAGTAAAAGGTTGGACACTATATCAGAAGGCTTGAGTTATGAAGGATTTGGCAGTGATTGATATATTCATAATCATTATTACTTAATGATCATGGTACTATTTCCAGCTATTAACTATATATATACATATAATTGTAATATAATGTTAGTGAAATATATTAATTATAAGTTCCAAATAAGAAAAAGGTACAAAAAGAAAGGGACTCGCTTTCGATCTTAGTCTGTGCAAAAGACGAGAATGCCCTTATTATTATCATTAAATATAGCCCTAAAATTGAAAAGAGTTGATATTTTACTGATTACAGGTCGATGTTTAGCCCAAGAAAACAGAGCTTTTGGTAAATAATTTAATGGAATTCGGACATATCAACTCTCAAATAATGTTGATGATGGTTGTTTTATAGAGCTTGATGATTTGTTATTCATAGTGTTAGATTTATTTTGATGTTTCTATTTTTTTCTTTTTGTGTGTGTTTTGTTTGTTTTGTAGAGGCTGATGATTTGTTATTCATGGTGTTTTAAAATATGAATTTTAGGTGTAAATGATTCCTGACACGTGTTCTGATTTATAGTTACTTTGTTTTTGTGCAATGAGAGAAGACATTCCACTTTTTGATGTCTTCTTGGTTACTTTAAATGGTAAAAAAGTAAATTTTTCATAAATGGAAAAATCAAGACTAGTTTGTGAGGTAAAAAAGTATAATGTCCTAATAAGAAAAAAAAATTGAAACTACAATGCTCTGTTTTGGTGGATTTTTTGAAGTACAATGCCTTAGTAGGCAAAAAATTACAAGTACCATACTCATAGAAAGAAATGAAAATAGGAAGCTACAATACACAAATAAATGAAAGTATGTTGATATCTATTGCATTTAACCATCCTTTAGAGAGTATCGTCAATCTATGTGCATGTATTTATCCATGAGACTGATGACATTCAAAGAAGAAAATTGATATATAATAATAGAATTTCTGCAAAAAGGTTATTTTTCCAACAACCCTAAATCATTAAGGAAAAGCAAAAATAAAGAAATAGTTCCATTATAATCCAACAAAATGTCATTTTCCCTCAAACCCTAATTTGTTTCTTGAACTAGTGTTGTCAAAATGTGAAATGAAATGAAATTTGAAATATTCAGAATAGATAAATTGACACACATGAATATGAATATGAAATTTGAAGGCATGAGATGAATATGAGCAGAAATTGCATGACCAATGATCACTAGTTAAGTATCAACACATGAATATGAATATGAAAATGAAATTTTAATCGTTAGTTTTTTTTTTTTTTTTTTTGAACAACAAATCTAATCTACTCCTAAACTATTCTTTAAATTTTACCTACGTTCATAATCGGACTTGAACCTTCAACATCAAGAAGGGAGGACAACACCTGATGGGCTAGAAAGCCCTTTGATTTTTAAATCGTTAGTTTGGTGTTGTTGTTATTATTATTTTTTTATTTTTTTTTATTTATTATTTTTTTTTAAGTTACTCTCAAATTACTATTATATTTTTCTTTTGGATACTCACCCAAATAACTTTTACCAATGTGTTTAAAATTTATATTTTTTCATAAAAAAAATAAGATAGAGAATCCATGCCTAAATCGAAAATGCAAATTTCCAACTTGGTCATTTATGTAAAATATTGTAAAAACTGGACTTTTTAAATATCTTTTTTAAAAAAAGATGGTTGTTGGTGCGAAGATATGTATTTTTTTTATTGTTATTATATTAGACTATATTGATTCTGTCATATTGTATTTTTAAAATTCTAGATATCATTAGCAAACTTTTTTTTAGCTCGAATATCCGCATAGTGTGGTTTTGTTTTTTGGTTTTCATCTCTTATGTGAACCAATCTTTTTTAAAAAGTATTGACTAATTGGTCGAACTTATAAATCTTTTTATTACGGAAGTGATTTATACATAATATTTTTATGCAAACACAACAAATTATTTTTAGAGGAGTTGCACAATATGTATAAAAAACATATTATTATTGTGTATGAATGTCAAATTTTGCATACAAATCGCTTTCCTTTCTATTATGTGCACTGACATATTTTGAACAATTATTTTTAACATTTTAGGTCATCTGCAATACATACTATGAAGGGCTTCGTGGTCTAGGGGCTACGACAATGGTTCGTGCACACCAGCCAGACGGACCTTCGTGGTCGTGCTCTATGGTAATGTCAACCACGGATTAAATCATTTTTGACCATTTGACCTTTTCTTTCAACGACTATTTTAGTTTTTATTTTTTAATTAATTTTTACCTATACAAATACCACTACAAACCTTATATTTCACACAATTCTTTTCTCTTTCTATTCACATTCATACGTCTGTGTTGTTCTTTCAATAACCATGGCTCCCAAAATGATGAGTTGGTTGGAAGAGGAATAAGAGAAGTTAACACTAGCATGAGTGTCAGTTTCCGAAGACGAAGATAGTCAAACATGTAGAGATTTTTGGGTAACAGTTCAAAGCGTTTCTATGGTTTAATGGGTTCTACAAGTCGAAATCTCGACGAAATATGTTCGAAATGGCATGATATGAGGGTATATTATTGCGGGTTCAATGGAATTTACAACCTTGTTATAAATAATGTGCACAGAGGCGATATCGATCTGATTAATGTGGTCATTGATCAATATGAAAACAAAAACCACAAACGTTTCGCACATCTCAAAGCTTTGGAAAAAGTTGAAGAATTCCCTAAATTGGAATAACATTGTTTAAAAAAAAAGATTAAGGGTAGTTCTTTGTGTCTGAATTTTTTTATGTTTTCTTCTATTTTATTTTAAATTCTGTTTTTTTTTTAAAGTTAATGTAATGTTTTTTTTTTAATTTAATAAAAACCTAGTTTAAAAATATATGTGTTTATTGTATTTTTTTAATTAAATTTAATTAAAAAACTGATATAAGGTAGTGTATTAGGTCATCCATTATACCCACCACTAACCACTATAATGGTGGGTGTCACATTATCACCACTAAAAGCTTGGGATACTTACCACTATATCCCTCTTATTATTTTATTATTAAAATAAAAAATATATATTTTTTAATTAGTTAAATTGTAGAGAGAGGTGGAGAAAGATAGAGAGAAATAAAGAGAGAATCAAATTGATTGGCTGTGGTGTTTCGTGCTCTCCACCACAAATGACCACTAAATAGTTCCACCACTATCCACCACTAACACCTTGGGATGGTGTTCACATTTGTGGTTAGTGGCCACTAAGGGTGTGCGTGGTGCGGTTTGTTGCGGTTTAGAGCCAAAACCGCAAACCACACCGCACATGCGGTTTGAGTTATTTAGAAACCGCAAACCGCACCGCGAACGTTCAAAACCGCATTATGCGGTGCGGTTTGGTGCGGGCGGTTTATGCGGTTTACATGCGATTTTGCGGTTTGAGTAATTATTTACATTAAATTTAATGACAATACTATCATTGTCGTCACTAACGGCTCACTAAGTGGTCATTAAGAAATTTAGTGGTCATAGAATTGTGGTCATTAACTACTTATGAATATACATAAGTTAAGAAAACATAGTGTATAAAATAATGGTCATTGAATGTTAGTTGAAAATGAATTTGAGACAAAAAATATGGTCACTCCATTAAATTTTGCATTAAATTTTGGATTAATTAATATTAAATTTCAAAAACTTAAGATAATGTCACTAATTTAGGACATGTCAAATTATTTTCGAATATATATATATATATATATATATATATATATATATATATATATATATATATATATATATATATATATATATATATATATATAATCATTAATTGATTTTATCAATGTGGTGCGGTTTAAATCGCAATTTTGTAATCGTAAACCGCAAACCGCACCGCATAATGCGGTTTAACAAAAATACAAACCGCAAACCGCACCGCGAGTGTTTTAAACCGCGTTATGCGGTGCGGGCGGTTTATGCGGTTTGTGCGGTTTATTGCACACCCTTAGTGGCCACATAGACCACTAACCCTCTCGTGATGACCATACCAGATGGTCTTAGTGGTAGGTATCCTATGAGTTTAGTGATAGAATGTGGTGATGAGTGACACTTACTACTATAATGGTTACTATAATGGTTACTATAATGGTTTGTGATGAGTATTGTTAATCACCTTAAGAACCTAGACACCAAATCAATGAACTGTTTCAATTAGACCGTATAGAAATTTATAATTAGATAAAAAATTGTTTGTGCAGAAAACCATGCCATATGATCGGGGGTGTTTGGGATTGCTTTTTAGAGTAAAAAATTCTTTTGAATAAAAGATTTTTTCATTTATAGCTTTTTCCAAAAGATGGTTTTAAAAAGTGTTTGTATTATCTTTTGAAGTGGTAAAGGCTAAAAAACCAAAAGTTACAAAAAGTCATCAATTCATGACTTTTGAAACAACTCATTTTTCTTCTTACCAAAAGGTCATTTTAAAAGGAATCCCAAATACCGTGATTATAAATTTAGATACATGATATGACATGTAAAAGTAAAATATTTAATTAGTAATTTTTTATTTTTTTCTTTGAAAATATATAATTAAGAAAACCATGAAGATTCAAAGGGGTGTAAGTGACGTTACTAAACACCCGAAGGCCATCTTGCAGCTTAGAGATATATTAGAGGTACCCAATTGAAAATTACGAATTTCAAATTAATACTTATGTTGTCTTTTTGCTTTGAATCTGATCCTCCTTCTAGCAAACTCGTTCCACGCGTAGACGATTGAGGAGCGGAAAAGAAGCTGTTTTGACGAAAGATCTCCAGATTTAGGTGCAAATGGTGAGTGTTCAGAACTTCGTATGCAACTGTATCTCAAATCTGCTTATGTTACCCGTATACGTTAAACTCTTGCTCAATTTTGTGCAATCATATGACACCAAAAGAACTTTTTGTTCGATCATCTTTTGCTTCATCATTGACCAATTTGAGATTGAGGGTTTCTCGGAAATTGAAGAATCTGGGTTTAGCATATAGGAAAGATGCTACTATTGGTATTTTCTGGTGATTTAGCGAACAAGAGTAGTAAAAATGGAGTTTTAGGGCTTGTTGATTTGTGGACAAAGTGATACTAATATGATCACAAGTCAAAACAGTCGGAATATATGGATCCTGTGGGCTTCTGTTTGAATCTTTAGTTGCACTATGTAACAGATACTGTCATAGCAAAATGAAAACGGAGGTTTAGGGCTTGTTCTTGATCTTTTGTATGTTTAGAAGACTTGAATGCCCTTCTCATTCCCATCATCAAAAATAGCCTTACAAAGCTTGTCAAGTATTCTTGGATATTTACATGCAGCTCTAGATTTATCTGTCAAATGTATTCATTCCTTTTTTCCATGAATTACTCTCATTCTTGCTTTGGATTTGGGTTGTCAGGGTGTGTATGGAGAAACATCAAGGAGAGAGAAGCCCAGAGGACGTCATCATGGGTTAACTCAGCAGAAAAAGCAAGAGATCAAAGAAGCTTTTGAGCTCTTTGATACTGATGGCTCTGGTATGTTGTTAACCCAAAATC